AATAAAATTGTTTTATTTTGTATAATTTTAAATGTCTTGAACTTAAAAATATTTTAAATTATCTTAAATTTTTAATTTATGTATGCTTCTTTTAAGATGCCATTTAATATTTAGTACATAGGTTTTTATACACATACTACTAGTATGTGTATATTTTATGTACTGTACACTACAGTACATCCAAATTTGTAAAATTTGTTGCAGCACATTACAACAATGATTATAGATTTGCATAATTAATCATAAATCAGTTACAATGCTCCAAAAACATGCTAAAATTTAAAAAAATTATTTAAGAACAACTTTAGTTAGGATTCTCCATATCCAAACAACATATTCTTAGAACTTGTTTGGATATGGAGAATCCTAACTAAAGTTGTTCTTAAATAATTTTTTTAAATTTTAGCATGTTTTTGGAGCATTGTAACTGATTTATGATTAATTATGCAAATCTACAATCATTGTTGTAATGTGCTGCATTATTTGAAAACACAGTGAAACCTCAGTTTATTGTTCCCAAATGTATTGCTCTCTTGAAAATATTGTTTAATTTCTAAGCCCTTGAACAAATCCTATTTAAACTATGGAAACTAAAACCATATCAATCTNTGTCGGGCTATCGACAGAGAAATAAAAAAGACATCTGGAGAGACGACGACATCTGTCTATTATTAGATGTATGGCAAGAAAAAGTATTTATTTCTAACCAAAACTTCCATTTTGTTTGTTGGTGTTTGTGACTTACCGCGTAGTTACATCATTTTTATGATTGTGTGTAATAGCCAGGTTCTTCTCGAGCGGACTGCCTGTGCGAACAGCACGACGTTCGACTAGCGACAGTCACAAATCCAGATTGTAGGTAAATCGAGATTGAAGTGAGTCGTGGATTGTGTGCAAACGTAGTATAACATTGTGAATGAATATTACCTGCAAATATCAGTTGAAATGGCTTGAATACAAAGACACAGACATTTACAACTAATACAAGACTGGCCTTTTTTACTAAATACAGTAGAGCATCGATTATCCAAAACAGTTCGGGACTGTGGTTGTTTGAATAACTGATCATGTATGAAAAAATATATTAACCTATCTCATGTTGAAATTTTTCTCTGTTGAATTTTCGTCAATGTTAAGCCTAACGAAAATTTTTTTAAAATAATAATTGTGGCTATTGTATTATTAAAAATTATTTCTTTATTTTGCACAAACAAAATAAATATATTAAAAAAATATAAAAACAAAAAAAAATTATATTTTGGAAGTTCTAGTATCAAAAATGTTCCAATTCAGCACAATGCACAGTCCTCAGAAAAACACCATACAAAACAAGAAAAGCTCTTTCTTGTTCTTGGTTTTATCTGAAAATATCAACTGCTTAGGCTATATTCTCTGACAAGCTGAAGCAAAACACACCACTCACAATGGGAGGAAAAAAGCCTCGTTCAAATACTGGCGTGTCCTTAAGTGCCCTCTCGACGTGTGTCCTGCTGAATTGGAATATTTTTGATATTAGATTAACTTCTGAAATATAATTTTTTTTTCTTTTGTTTTTATATTTTTCAATATATTTATTTTGTTTGTGCAAAATAAAGAAATAATTTTTAATGATACAATATGGTCGTGTCAGTGCTGCCAGCTAAAACATGCACAACAACAAAAAATAATATTGGAGTAGCCCAAGTCATAGCCAAATATTACAGCACCACAGCACTAGCGGAAATTTGAATTTGCCTTATGGAACGCTTTCAATTAACTGATGTTTCGGTTGATCAGTATTTGAATAATTGATGCTCTACTGTACTTCTGATCACACTTATATTCAAAAGTAAAATGTGTTCTGTACATAATATGAGCAAAGAGAATGCAAAACACAATCTTGCTATGACATAATTAGATGGAACTGATAAAAAAATATTTTCTCTTGTTACTAGAAAAGAGACATTTTAATGACATTAAATCATTTCCTGTGACTTACTATTCAAACTCAAAGGCTTGAATGAGAGGAAAATTTATGAAGATTGATAAACAAAATAGAACCAAGACCTTTGATGCTAAAATTGAAAAGTTTTCCTTGTTGACAGATTGTCCAAATGCAGTTATATTCAGTTGTAACTCAGACCTTAATTAACACATTGACTGCCACATATTATATATGTGTCATACAGTAACACTTCTGAAGGGACTATTTGTAACATAGGTGTAATACACAGAAGTTTCCTTAAATCACATTATATAATGCATCTACAATACATGTAATCTATTATTCTATGGGTTTTAAATTATGTGGTGCCTGTGTTTAAGTTGAAATAATGTTTTTGTGGCATGAAATAATAATTACATTTTGCATATTAAAAAAATAATGTGAAACAAAGATGATAATAGCAATAAATTTACTTTTTTTATTAAATAATTACACAAATACAGATAAGCAATTAACCAAAAGTACAATTACAATATCAGAAGAAATACACAGTTCATTGACCAGTGTGATGAAATTGAACCTCTTTTATTAAGATCCATCTACAATAAAAGTCCAAGAAATTTCCTTATTTCACTAACAAAAACAGATTTTCCATTTAAGATATCTTGATTTTGGTTTCATTTGAATATTACTAATATATTTATCTGCATATCTATTTGCTTCGATTATTTCATTATCCAAAAATAATGAATAAATCTTCATCAGAGAGGCATTCAGATCAATTTCTACTTGAATTCCAGATTTTCCTGTAAACTGAAAAGAGAACTGCTTTCCAGAAAAAGCTTTCCATTGAATTTCTCCCTCAGTAGTTATTACATTTCCTTCTTCATCATCAACAACCCATCTTCATCTTCACAAATAGGCATATCAACAAGTTTATTTTCTAACATGCTAGAATTACTAATTTCTTGATTTTCAATCTGAAATATCTTCATTATCAAGCAAAAATTTTGGATTGTCAAAATTTGAATAATCTTACTCAAATAGCAAGCCATTAATATTGTATTCACTTTGTAATTTATTACAATTATATCTCTTTATTGTCAAAAGTAACTATTCTATGGTAATGAAAACGGCAAACTCAATTGAAAAAAATTGCCAAATGGACAAAAATTAAAATTTTATTTATATATTTATTTATTATTATACATTAAAAATTATGAAATATAAAAATAGTGAAAAAAAATAAAAATGAGTTCTATCCACAAGGAAAATATATTTATGCAAAAATGAAACTGTGGCATTTTGGGAAGTTTCATTGAAAATGAAGTAGTAGTCAATGTGTTAAGGAAAGACAGACAGATGGACGACAGTGGGAATTTATAGGCCTACAGTTTTTTCAAATTGCAGCTCAAAGTTTTTCATATATTCTATGAAGTTTTTGTATTGATATTCTATTAAGATCCCACTATTAACATATGACATGAAGTCATATGTTAATTAACATATGATTTTAAAATCATATATCTCACTTATAACATGTGAGTTTTTGATATTTGCAGGGAGTATGTTATATCAATACTTCATACACCTATATATGTATATAATATATACCTATTTATGTATATAAGTAGTTCTTTAGTACAGACCTTGTCTTTGGCATCAAGAGGATTGTTTTTGTGACTATTCATTGGACTCATAATAGAGCATCTTAATGATGAGAGAAAATGTTAACATATTTAAGTTTCTCAGAATATTAGATTAATTTCTTTACTATCTCAGACATAAGATCTTTATTGGAATAATTCTGCTTTTTATAATTGTATTTAAAACAATAATTATTAACATTATTTAAGAAAACTTCAATATTTTTTACTGTGTTATTTTTGGATTTTGAAAATTTTGAAGTGTTTTTATGTAATACTTTCTTATTAATTCATTTATAAGTAATTAAAATAAATTTATATATTTTATTTAATATTTCAGTATTGTATCTTACAGATACAGAATACAGAATTAGTAACATATTTTATATTTTTAAAGTTAAACTGTTCTAATGTGAATCAGCTGTTATTTCTACTGTTAATTTCTTAATTTCTCATTAATTAATCATTGTTTATCTACAGGTTACTAGTAACTAGTTATTATTTTTTTGTTATAAAAAATATTACTGGCCCTATCTATTACTAAGGTATTTGTTTGAAATCAATTATATTTTTTATGTTTTGGATATTAAAACTATCAATAACTTATTAAAAATTAGTTAATTTTAATTAATTGGATTTGTGTCAATATTGTTTTAATGAATTTCAATCATTTCAATAGCATCTTACCATGATAAGTGTGAGACTAATGAAGAGTGTCAAGCAACTGACAGAAACATGATTTGTCGTCATGGCTTGTGTGATTGTAGTATAAATTATAAATATATAAAGCCAACTGAACAGGAAAGAGGGAAATGTTACAGAAAAGGTAAAATAATGATAATGTTTATTATTTCTTCTTTAAGAAAAAAAAATTGTAATGAAAAAACAATAGTAATTTTTAAATTGATAGCAAAGTACAGAATTATAATTAAAGTAACAACAGTAATTTTAGTAATGTATAAAGCACTTATATTGCAAAAGTCTTTAAATGAACATGTTATCATTTGTTTAAAAGAATCTGTGCATCTGACATGTGAAGTATTTACTGAATATTTTTAATAAATGTTTTTGTGTTATGCCAACCTACAATTTACACAGTACTCAATTTTGGTTTAATATTAGAAAATGCAGAAAAAATTTATTTTACATGATAGACTCTTAGTTTAACATAGCATTTAAAATATTCTTTTGTATTTTATTTTAAAACTTAGTATTTTCATTGATAAAAGTAATAGTAGTAATTCAAACACAAATAATTATCGTATTTATCTTCAGGCACTTGGCAATACTTATCATCAAGTTTTATTCAAGGCTTTAATTTAAATAAAATGTTTAATTTATTTTAATATTTAGTATAATTACATTTATTTCACAAATAAACTTTGAAAATTAGGTAAAAATATCATTAAATTTTTACTTATTGAATTTAGAGGAATTTGAACGTAGTAAAGCTCAGCAAGTATATCGTACAGCTATGATAGCAGCTGCTTGTTTTATGATTGGAATAGTGAGCATCTTTGTTGTATGTATTGTAAAAAAGTAAGTTTTACTTTTATCATTTAATTATACTTTTAAATAATATATATAAATTGCAAATAATAATAATTAAAAATACTTATAATTATTGTTAATAGTAAGATCAATTGTGAACAGCATAAACAGAATTACAAATATGTTACTTGCTAAAGAAAAAATAAGTAAAGTAAGTCCTTAGCTTACATGATTAATTTGTTTCAAAAGTTTCTATGCAAGTCAACTAGTGCTGAATGTGATGTATTTTTAACAAATGTATTTGTTTCAAAAAGTCAAACAGCTTCTGCTTATGAAAAGAAAATTCTGATAAAATAAATTTTTGCTATCATGTATGTTCAGAGTGGCACTTAAGAGATGGAGTTGTCAGTAGTAAATCAAAGTGTCATGGTCATGTACAATGGTGCCTCGTATAACGTACTTAATCTGTTCCAAGTGCACATCTGTTAAGTGAAAAGTCCGTTATACAAAATGCATTTTTCCATAGAAATACGTGTTAAAACATATAATTCATTTCGCAGTATAAAATAATTGTACTGTACCATAAAAAAATGAAAATGGAGCAGTCACCAATTATGCCAGGTAGTCAGATGTTGTGAGGAGGAGGTGGAGGAACACTTTCTTCACACATTCATACAGATACAGACTTTTTACACATTGCAGCAGGTCTTTTTTTATTGTTTTTTAATCAGAGTCAGATTCAGGAGAGGCTATTGGAGCTTGCAGGGTCAACTCCGCTTGTTTTTTGCCTGCTGGCTTCTTGAAAAACATGTCCAATGTGGTCTGTTTCTCTCTCTTCTTCAACATTTGTCAGAAATGACGTGTGGGGTTTCATTGTAGAGATAATTGATCCTGTTGACCTCAGCTCTGTTTGGATAATGAGTGTTGGTAAACTCCTGAACCTCTCCCCATTCAACAAGGAAGTTTTTGTCAACTTTCACTCCTTCTGATGATTTCTTGCTTTGTTTTAATTGAAATCACCTTTCTGTTTTTTAGGAGCCATGATTTGCACAACACTTGAATAAATGTAAATACCCTGCACTGAGGTGATTGTGAACCGCCGAGGAGGTTGGGAACTGTCGACTCTCCTTTTCGGCTACAGGTTGTTAAACCTGCTCACTTGTCAAGATGGCTAAATTTCGAATGCGGTCCCGAAGGGTCAGGATTCTTTTTGTCAGGTTGAGTGGAGGAGGTGAGAGGGGTCGTCGACGAGGCGTAGGCGATATGCGAGTAAAAGGACACCATTTAACAATGGAAACAACAATTTATTATTGAATCAAGGTTGCTTGTTGTTCTCTATTATATGTGTTTGGTTAGCACAATGTTGCTGTTGAGAACGTATCATACAGGAACACTTTAAGAGGAAAAAGGTTGCTTTATTGACTTGGACGGATATGCATTTCGGGCTTAATGCCCCTCTTCAGTCCTATTATTATTACATAATTATCAAATTGGTTACAGGTATCAAAATTTACAGAATTCATTTAAAAAATTAATATACGCGTACAGTGATTTATATGATAAAATACAATTACCTGAGATAGTGACCATTAAGCTGGTATTACACATAAGATATATATACACATATTTAAACACGGGAGGAGGAATGAGCAAATAGTGCTATCAGATCAATATACATGCACCTGAGGANTAATAACTCTTATAGTGTTGCAAACACACCACCATTACTCTCAACTTACATATTCAAAGAATTTAATGATTCTCCATTTTTTACTACATTATGACTTCACATTATATACATTAAACTTAGCTTTGTTTATTTATTTTAAATAAATTTTCTGATATTAACAGAAATAAAAGATTATCTTAATAAAATCCTATATTAAAGTGAGACTGTTAATGTCCTTGACAAACTAATTAGTAAGGAGAGGAATTTTGGGTGTAAAAAATTGCTAAAAACAAAAAATAGAAAGAAGGTGCTAAAAAAGATAGAAAAGGTGCATGTTTATTTAATTATTTAACCATTGTTTAAATAATGCGGAAATTTGTATAGTATGAGATTTTTATTGATATTGTATAGTATTATGAGATTTAAATTGAACATAAGTGAAATGCAAGTCATTATTTTAGCAATGTGCTAAAAATAATGGCTGAACATTTTTCAGCCATTATTTTTAGCACATTGCTAAACCTATGTGAGAAACTTGTAGTGAATGAAATTATTTCTTAATTGATTGCATAATAAAATGCATTTTCTTCTCTTCCAAAAATCTTACATAATGAAAAGTATCTTTCTACATCTATTGATATGAGAGGAGATAATTTGGTGAGTAGTCTGTATAGGAGCTCACTTTATGTAGCAACTTCCTCAAGATCAGGATTTTTGCTCAAATTTGCCAGCAGCTTTAGCAAATCCTTTCAAGTTGTTCATAAACTTCATTAACAATATTCCATTGCTTTCCCTTTTTTAGACCTTGCTCTTCAAGTTTAGTCACAGCTTCCACTAGGAACTTGTAAGTATGAACTGAGAACTGGAGATCAATGCTAGTTAGTAGTTTCTTTAATTTGAAATGGCTTTATAATCCTCATGTAAAGCATTCAGAAAAGTTAAAATTTATCAAAAGTTTTCACAGTGGAAAGTCTGTGATCCCCAACATGTCACTATTGGTGTTGGAGGCAATGAAAGATTGGTTAATTTTTGATATATCTGTATTCATGCAGAACACTTCACTAAGATCTTGAAATTTGTTAGATATGTAAGGCTTGCTGATTGTGTGTGATTGTTGGGACGGTTGAGTAAATCACACCGTACACAGTTAAGACAGTCATGTGTGGATGTGATTTGCACACTGAGACAGGCTTACCATTCACTTTTTCCCATTTAATAAAATATAAAAAATATTCTTACAAAATTTTCTATATTCTTGTCATTACAATTCTCCTTTGATATTTCTTTTTAAGAAGAGNATACTAATTTTTTAAATGAATTCTGTAAATTTTGATACCTGTAACCAATTTGATAATTATGTAATAATAATAGGACTGAAGAGGGGCATTAAGCCCGAAATGCATATCCGTCCAAGTCAATAAAGCAACCTTTTTCCTCTTAAAGTGTTCCTGTATGATACGTTCTCAACAGCAACATTGTGCTAACCAAACACAACAATTTATTAGCTTAACAAAAAATAAAGATTATAAAATTTGCTAGCTCCTAACTCGCGGAGAGAGAGTTTACAATTATTTGTTCCATACCTCCAGTAGATTTCAACGTAGGCACAGAGTTCGACGCACAAAGTAAAAATTCCCAGAGACTTAATCCTTTCAGACTGTAGATGTGAGACTCCCCCGAAGAGGGGGAAAGAAGTCGCTTTTATAGCTTCGGGCAGGGGAAATTAGTCAGGTGATCCCCTATTGTGTGAGGTAGAGTTGATCCTGCAGGTGTGGAGGTTAAAGTTGTTCCCGGGACCAAAACAAAATGATGAATTTGGACTTTAACTATAAACTTTTTGTCTTGCAGCAGCGGAATGTCATTGTTCAAGGGTTGAATGTTTATATTAATGATGAAAGCTATAAGTTTTGATCGATATATGATTCTTTTTTCTGACAATGTTATTTTAACGAGGAGGCGATAAATTTATTTCAAATACGTCGTAAATTTAGGGGGGAAAATGAACAATTTTGGGCTTATTCTGAGGTTGGATTTCACATGATGTACGTAATAAACAAGGAGTAAGCTGAATCCCAATGGGAGCTCTGTACTTCAGATATATTAGTATTATTAGAATATATTATTAGTATTTTATAAAAATAGCAGATTGACATTGGCAATGGCAAAAGAGCGGAAACATCATTCACACTTGTTCGCAGAAAGTTTGTTGTTCACCTCACGTAACTGCAGAATGGAAAGTCCATTGTTCGCAGCCAGTCCATTGCTCGAGTCACATAACAGGCAAAAAGAAAGTCTGTTGTTTGCAGTGTCCATTATTCGAGGTGTATGTTATATGACTATATTCTAAAAAATGACATAAGTTGAAGATAAGACTGGTTACTATGTTCTAATAGAAATCTAATCTTTTTACAATCAATAAGAGTTTAATGAATAAATTTCAATCCTCATAGGATCATCTTCAAGTTACACGTTGATTAAACCTATGATAAAAAATTTGGAATGAAATAAATATAAATATTTGAAAACATTCAAACAGTTAAATGTCATTACATAAAACACAATTACATTTATTTATGTCTTTTTATTTAATGTAAATGAATGAACAGTGAGTTATAGCGTCTTAGCATTTATTTGTTATCAATGTCATTAACATTTACTCACTGCTGAATTGTCAACTGCTTATAAATTTGTATTTTTGTATAGTGTACAATCACCCTCATACAGTCTCCCATCTCTGTAATAATTTTAGTCATCTTTCCAGATAATTTCATTATTAGTCAAGACTATATAAAATACTGTAAAATATTAAAATTTGACTGATCAATTGAGAAAATGCTAACATTTTACATGTATATTATATGGGAGTAGGCCTCAGCTTAATTAGTTGAATTAGGTCAGATTAGATCCAATTGAAATAATACAATAGTAATTATCTAAAAATTATGTGAAATTTACAAACATTGCATACATTCTATTTGAAAGCATATTTGTGACATGCTAAATTTAAGAAATTATAAAAAAAATAAAATCTAACAAATAAAAATTTTATACATATGGATATACGTAGTACGATCCAAAAGTTCAGGGACTTGGCTTAAAATTCCTTACCTTAAAAAGTTTATATTACCGATGCACAACCACCTTCAAAATAATCACCTTGGGCAATGATACACTTTTGCCAACGCTAATATAACTTCTGGAAGCCATTTTTTGAAACCTCCCGTAAGGTCTCTTGCGATGCTGCTCTCACCTCATCTGATGACACAAAACGGCGTCCCTGCAAATGCTTTTTCATTGATGGAAACAAATAAAATCACATGGAGCTAAGTCCGGTGAATAGGCGGGGTGTGGAAGCACATTAATTTGAGATTTGGCAAGAAACTGTGTGACCATTTGGGACCGATTTGCAGGTGCGTTGTCATGCAGAAGGTACCAGTCTCCACTTTGCCAGATCTGCGGCCGTTTACGACGAATGGATTCCCTCAAACAATGTAAAATGTCTAGATAATTGAGAGATCAACTCAACATTTTCCTCGTTCCGTGAAGTCGAAGGTCGGCCAGAGCATTCATCATCTGCGATAGATTCTCGGCCCTCTTTAAATCTTTGATTTCACCATGGTAGAATCACCGTACACCTTTCTTAGCAATTTTAAAGTCTTCATAGATGTTTTACCTAAACGCTGACAAAATTTAATGATGCAGCGCTGTTCTTGAAACTCCATTTTTATTACGTCGCAAAACAAAAGTAACTATCTCCGAAAAAAACAACAGCACTCGCGGTTTAATCATGTGACATGGGCAAAATCAACCTGAACACGTAGGGTGATTTGATAGAATCCATTTCATATGCTGTAACTTTAAATACATGCTTTTGTTGTCATACATTACTGCAGTCCCCGAACTTTTGGATCGTACCAAGTATGTATAATAAAAACAAATTTATGTATTCGTTTTAAATGAGGAATTAATAATACAATAGTCTCATGCATTATTATGCTATTATCTATAAAGTAATGAAAAATATTTTTTAAAGAACAATTAATTATAATCTTATATATATACTAGCAGACCCCACCACGCATTGTTGTGGCTCAAAATGTATCTTTTATAAATGTATAACACTTCCCCCACGGGGGAATTTCAAAAAGTCCCATCCACAAAAGTGTACATTCTCTTGACGTACCCTATTAAAACGCAATCAAAAACACAAAAAAAAACACATATAAAATAGTATAAATAGAAGCAGAGTTCTTCACAGTAAGCCTTAATTTTGTCCATTGTCATCCCAGTGGGAGGAATTTTGACATGTATCTTATATAAAAACACGTGCATATTCGAATGCAATGTTGTGTCAAAGTTTAAAAAGAATCAGTAGGATTCAAACGAACGTTACATTTTTATTTATATATATAGATAGAAGATGATCTGCTTTAATTCATCCTCACAGAAATGCATAATGCCTCACAGAAAAGCAAACTTAGGTTGTCGTACTCAGGGAGTTAGTGCCATCTGTTGGACATAAAAGTCTTAATCCTTGATGATATCTTTTAATTTATATGAACGTTTAACGGAATAATATACAGCCTATGTCCACCCTGAAGTTCCATTCTAAATATTGGTGAAAGAATTTTTGAAATCAGATGAGTAGTTTCGAAGATTATCCCCTACATCCAAACTTACAAACTTTACCTCTTTATAATATTAGTATAGATTACATTCATTTGTAGAAAATTTATGTATATTTTCAAATATTTATAAAGAATAAATAAAATTTCATTTTAAATTGAATTTAGATCATTCTGTGGAGATGATAACAGATCCACTCTTCCTGGAGGTCAACTTAGATCAAATAGTCAGTTGCAAAGGATGACATCTCTTACAGAAGATGGAATAATTGTTGTTGACAAACCTCCATCATATGAAGAAATTATCTTAGCAGAAATTGTAAGTAAAATAAATTTAAAATTGTAAACAAAATTTAGAATATTTGTAGCTCAAAAATTTTTTAAAAATAATATATATTCTTTAAAATAATAATATATTCTTTGTAATAAATTAATGAAAACATATTTGATAATTTTACATTAAAAAGTGGTTAAAAGTGGTTGATAAAATGACATCTTTTCTCATTAATTAATCATTGTTCTTATCTAATTCCTTGGTATTTACTAAAAATCATTAACAAAAGACAAAATATTCCGTGTACATCGAAGATTTAAATTTATAAATAAAACAAAAATAATCATTTTAGTATAAATACATTAATCTAAATGAGTAAAGAGAAGATAGAAGTATAAAATTTTTTTTAATTACTCTATTGATGATTCCAGAATTCCTCAATATATTTTGTTGCATTTGAAATTTTTCTTAAAAATCTTGTATGTATGTATGTATGTAGTAGAACCTGGCTTTAGTGGAGACACTTATCAGAAACTTTCTCGTTAAGATAAATAGTTTTTAATGAAAACCTATTTTACAACTGACAGTTTTTAAATAATTGTAATAGAATGGATTTGGGATAGAATGTATGAGGACAAAATTCAGAAATATCCAAAGAACTTCCAAAATTATAGGATTGTTTTTACATGATAATTAATTAAATTTAATAACTAGAAATTAATAATTAAGTAATTTAGAAAAATCTAGAAGATAAGATCTGATCTGAAGTAAAATTCAAAACCATAACTAGTGCAAGCTAATCAGGCAAAATTACAATTACAGTGGTACCTCAGGATACGAAATTAATCGGTTCCAAAACTGAGATCGTATCATGAAAATGTCGTAAGGTGAATCATTTTTCCCCATACGATTACATGTAAAACTAAATAATTCATTCCAACACGAAAAACACTCAAATTAAAGCTAAGTAGTACATTAAAAAAATAACTATAGTAAGGAAAACACTGAAAAATGCATTTTGTAGTTGTAATAGAGTAATAATTGATAAAAAAAAATGTAGTTTTATTTGCACTTTACCTTTGAGGATAGACGACGGTGGAGGTGTAAACTGGTGGTGGAAGAGAGGGAGAAGGGAAGTGATACTAAAACTTAACTTACATAACCTAATGTAACAATAACTTAAAAATAACTTAGAAAAGATNCTCTTTCATATCAAAAATAATAAGCTTTATTTCTAAATCACTATTCTATATTTAAAGCTTGTTATTGATTGCTATTCATTGGAAATTTTTACTATTTTAAAACTGTTCTAATTTTTATTTATTCATTTTAGCCAACCACACCACCTCCAAAATATACGGACATATCAAAATTATTTCCAATCACAGAAGGATTACAGAGGCATAGTTCTGAACCTCATCTGAATATACCTTATTTAGAGAGTGGCCACAATCGTAGCAATTCATTTCATGCTTATGATAATTTAGCTGCGAGTAATGATGCAAATAACATTGAAATTGCCTCCACTCCTCCACCAAAATACGAAGAATGTCCAAGTTCTAAACCTAGGCCTAATCTTCACTTAAACATTCCATCCATTACTATTTCAGTCGATAGTCCCACTGATGAAACTACTGTGCAGCATCAAACGTAAACAAACTCTGAAAATAATTGAAATAATCAAAAAGTATACAAAATATCATAAAAGTACTTACTTGATACAAATTTTGTTATTTTTTGTACCAATGATTATATTTGTAAATTTCAAGATTTACTATAACCTAATGTAACAATAACTTAAAAATAACTTAGAAAAGATAAAAAAAAAATTAGTGGTATTTTATATATTTTTAAAAATTTTTATTCACTGCTTTTTGGTTTCTTTCCTTCACTTCCACCAGCACTTTCACTGGATAGAGGTCACTTGGTAAAATATCTATCCAAAGAGGTTTGGCTTCACCTACTCTTTAAAATGTTTCTAAAATGACTTAGGCAAATGTCATTAATCTGAGCAGCAATACAGCTAGTGTGAACCTTTCTGGGATGTTTCTTTTCAATAAAATCAGTCACTTTCTGATAATACCTCGAGATTTCCTTTATTGAGCGAGATCCTTCCACGACAGAGCAAACACGCAGACTGAGACTGATAAACAGTAGTGAATAAAAAATGGCGCTGCAAACTAATGTAACGTCATATGGTGAGTTTTTGTTTGTATCGTGGAGCAAAAATATGTTCAAATTTCATGTCATATCCTGAAAATTTCGTATGCTGGGACGTTCGTATCCTGAGGTACCACTGTACACTTTTTTGGATTCCCAAGCATGAAGTTTGTCAATTTTTGTAATATCTGACTCATTCTGTTTTTTCTTCTTCAAAATTCACTGGTCTCTTAATATTGCTCATTGACAATGCAAGAGAGAAATGTCACATCAATTTATCAATGTTTAAAAAGAAGAATATCAAAGTACTACCTAAACATGAAACTGTAAAAACTTCATTTGACAAGTTTAAGGGCACAGAGATTCTATGAAATAATAGCATTGAAGATAAGCATGATATTTATAGGAAATTAGTAATCTGTTGTACTGTCTGCTTTATAGAGATTTTGCAGAATAGAAAGGGTAAGAAATTTTTGTTCATTGTTTGCAGAAACTAATATACATTTAATAAAAATAACAATGATAATTGTATTACTTTGCTTGGACTGGATATTTTTTCTGTTAAATATAGGTTTCACTGAATTTATAATTAGTATAAACCAAAATATATGGCTGATACTGAAATTTCTTTACAAATAGTTTTCACGAGATATTCTGTGTATAATAAATTGATCTAACAAAATATTTTATTTGTTGGTTATATAGATCTAGTACAGTAGACCCCGCTATAACGCTTAGATATGTTCCACGCTAACCGAAAATTACGTTGTAGGAATGAGCCAATCGCAGCCCGATAGGTGGGAACTTTACGGACTAAGGCTGTTCGAAAGGTTTTCTTCTATAAAATTAACCGATTCTAGACTAATTCCACTCAACATTTCCAAAATACGTATAATTTTTTGGGAATAATCCGTATAAACTACGCTATAAACAAAAAATTATAGGATTACTTACACCGTTCGACTACGCCGTTGCTTAAAGCTGGTTTTCATCGCGGAACAGCACGCGAAACGACGGCCGCAATTTCTGATAACGAATTTTTGGCGGAAAAATAACTTGACCTTTGGAGACATCATTAATATAAATAATTTTTATGGACGTTGAATAAGAAGTGTTTCTTTCACAAGAAATGTATAAAATTAGTGCTGTATTAGACTTACGGTACCTAATTTACATACTGTACAGACGATAATAAACTCAACTTACTAGCCTAAAATCTCCGTAGCGTGTTGCCAGGCGGCAGAAAGCATATATATAATTATAATAAAGTTACAATAAATTAAGTTAATATATAATTATATATACAGTACCTAATTTATATATAATTAATATATAATTATATGTACAGTACCTAATTTATATATAATTTATATATAATACTAAACAGACGATAGCAAACTCAATTTAGCCGCTCCGTAGCGTGGCGCAGGGTCGGAGGAAAGTAGTTCGGCTGCTCATCCACTATTGGTCCAGACTCTATCAATCTTGTCGCGAAACGACATTATAGGAGGTACGTTATACGAAAGTTGCTACAATTTTTTCGCTACGTTATAGGAATTGTCGTTATATGAACGTACGTTATAGGGGGGTCGACTGTAAAGTCACAGTTTAGAAATATTTTCAGAAGTTTTCATTTAACTAGAAATATATCTGTTCCAATACATTCTGAAAAGTATGATAAAATTGATAGAAAAAAATTCTTATTCTTTTAAATATATGTTATATTGCAATAAATAATAGAGAAAGTATTACTTAATTTACCTCAAAATTTATTAATTTTGCATCTATAATCACAGTTATGTAGAATGTAAATCATCAAAATTTTAAAAAATCCAGTACCTCAGACATTGCTGTAAATTGGATTTTTTTATTGGATATAGCTTAAGTTCTTATAACTATAAATTAATTAATAATTTTGGTTAATGTTATCTGAATAAAATTTAATATAACTCTTTCATATCAAAAATAATAAGCTTTATTTCTAAATCACTATTCTATATTTAAAGCTTGTTATTGATTGCTATTCATTGGAAATTTTTACTATTTTAAAACTGTTCTAATTTTTATTTATTCATTTTAGCCAACCACACCACCTCCAAAATATACGGACATATCAAAATTATTTCCAATCACAGAAGGATTACAGAGGCATAGTTCTGAACCTCATCTGAATATACCTTATTTAGAGAGTGGCCACAATCGTAGCAATTCATTTCATGCTTATGATAATTTAGCTGCGAGTAATGATGCAAATAACATTGAAATTGCCTCCACTCCTCCACCAAAATACGAAGAATGTCCAAGTTCTAAACCTAGGCCTAATCTTCACTTAAACATTCCATCCATTACTATTTCAGTCGATAGTCCCACTGATGAAACTACTGTGCAGCATCAAACGTAAACAAACTCTGAAAATAATTGAAATAATCAAAAAGTATACAAAATATCATAAAAGTACTTACTTGATACAAATTTTGTTATTTTTTGTACCAATGATTATATTTGTAAATTTCAAGATTTACTATAATATACTTTAACTATAATTTTTTTAACTTTATTCATTTTGTAAATATTTTTTCTTTGAAGTTTTCAAATCAATTAAAAATTTATTTAATTTTAATTAATTTTTCCTTAAATTAACATGTTCATAATAATAATAATTTTCAAAAATTTATATATTAAATGTGTAGGCATTATTAATATATGACAGTAGTTTCTGCTCATTGATTTTTTTTAATTTTATAAGGATAATTATTAAATATATATTATTTAAACTTGTACAATTAATTGAATTATACATGTGAGACTTTCATGTCTTAAAAAATATATTCATTTATGCATCCTTATATCAGTATTTTTTTCTGCAACAGATCATTGGTTTTATATAGTATATTGTCAAGTTGTTTGGACATGTGACAAATCTATTACCATTTGTTGAAATAGCATCAAATCCTTGAAACATTTTTTCATAGAATTAAATTTCCAAAACTTAATTTATTATGAAACTAGAGAATATTTAACAATGGCAAAGTCTATTTTAGCCTATAATCAATTACAAATTTGAAATTTCAATCTAAATTCTATAAGCCAGTGGTTACCAAACTTTCTGTACCTCGACCCCCCCCTCTTTTTCAGAAAAATATTGTTACACACCCCTCAATTTTCATAATAGTCTAATTTCATAAATACTGTCCTTATAATTTATTTAATGACCTACAAAACAATATGACTTATTAAATAAAATATATTGTTCACCAGGGCTCGACTCTTGTTGAGATATTTTAGCAAGAGTGTATATAGATTTTTAGCATTCATACCAGAGTTGTTCTGACAAGGGTTGTGAATTAGGTGTAACTGTTTTGCTGATTCATTTTTTCGATGTTGATTTGACTTTTTTTTGTTTGTTTGTTTGTATTAAAGAATGATAATTTGGTAAAAGCTGTGCACCCTCCTTGCAATGGTCTTGTGCACCACAGATTGGAAAACACTGCTGTACTGAAGATAAAACGAGATTTATATAACTTAATCTAAAGAAATGTACGGTACAAGTAATTTTTAATAGACACTTTTTTGGAGAAGCTATTATTAAGTTTGGGTATTATATTTAATTTAATTGTCATGCAGTTAACAAGAATCAATTCTCTTCATTCAAAAATTTATATATATATATTACCNCATTTCAAACCACTTTGATAACAGGTAGAACCAACATTGGTTGCACATGCTCAACTTCTGCTCACACTAATCGCTTAGAATTAGGTGCAAACTTTTATGTAGTGAACAGTACATATTCATTATTCATATTACATTGTTTGATGAATCGCAGTTTGATGAACCGATTCCCTTAAATTATTTACATTTAAACATTATGAATAATTTTAAGTGAAGCTTGCTATTAAATTTTGATTATAGATAGGTTAAAAAATTTTAATCCTTCTAAATGTATTTCAATACATTAATAAAGTTTAAAATAAATGTAATAATTGGTTTTCATAGAAAATAATTTATTTCAGTTTAAGTGTATATTTTGTACTCTGAGAGCACTCACAGGATAATATATATTTTTAAATTAAGAAAAAAATTAATCTTGTAAATGAATATTTAGATAATTAAATATAATACATTTATAGAAGTGTCACTGTTAAAAAAAGACTCAAATTCAATAAGAAATTATGGTTAAAGTATAATCAAAAATAATGTTTTGACTGATATACAATGTATATATTTGTATATAAACAAAGTGATTTGTTTCAATTATTCAGAAATGAATATTTTTATTAAAAATTGTATTTTTATATCAAATATTTTATATGGATATTTAATGTATGATGTAATCTGATGTTATGTATATATAACATATTTTATATTTATATTATGTTTTAAAATACATGAATTTGGGTAATTTCAATAATAGGAACATTCCAAACAGTTATATTTTTTCATAAATAAAACATATTTCTTTAAAACTTTTTATGTTGTGTCATCATTATTGAACGCTGAAAACAATGAAGTGCTTAAAGTAAAAAATGAACAGAATAAATAAAATATGTAAAAGGCTAGATGGATAAAATGGTTAAGGTGTCAGCCTATTGCTCTGAGGGACC